ACGGTTTTGGATTAGGCCAGGTCGAGCAAGTGCCTGGTGGGACAATATGATGGGAAATGTCACGGTAGCTAGCGAGCGGAGAGAAAATTTTAGAAGTCCCATCCTACCTTTATGGAACTTTGTGAAGATCTTAGACCCCTACTTGAGAGAAAATCAGAAAAAAACAAAAAACAAACAAAAAAACCCGGAGTTGTCGCTGTGTGTAAACGGTCAGGAATCCGAATATCCTTTCAGTGTAAACGCCTACGGATCCGAATACTCCAAAATTGATGAATCCAGAAAACTCTCTTCTAGTGTAAACCTAGTCTAAGTTCAACTTTATTTCAGAAAAATTACGTTAATATGCCGGTTTGGTCATTGAAAAGCTGAGATATTCATAAAATACCTCTATTATTCTACTAGTCTTTAATTTCAAAAACCTCTAATGAAACTTAAAGCTTAGCCTTTAGTACTGAGAAGCAGGATCTAACCCTGATAAATTTCGTTTCGCCGCTCACCTGTTTGGAAATTGAAAATGTCGGTGTTATTATGTTCGAATACAATAATTCTTTTAAAATTACACCAAAACCTATTACAATACTTCGTGGGTATTTGCAAAATTGTTCTGTCAATTGTACAATATTTTCTTCAAAGAACATACATTTTTATTATGTTGCACCAGTGTAGCCTTAGGATGTATTTCGTTGATTTACCTTTTATACTTTTGTATTTTTCTTGAATTTTCTATCATCATTAATAAAATTCATAAATAATAGAGCGAAACGTTTTGTAAACGAATACTATTTGAATAAAATTTGTAATGTGCATTCATTTGCAAATTTGGTTAACAAGTTCACCTAAGCGATAGTTTTTGTGTGTGTACCTAAAAGGTAACATACTCCCTTACCGTATTTTAATATTACCACAAAATTCAAATTATTTATTCTTAAGATTTGAATTTGGTTCCTCAAAATACCCAAACATATAAAGGATGAAACTATGTTTATAAGCTTTGTCTGAGCGACTTTTCGAACGACATTAAAAGGGACTCTTTTTTAATGTTCCTCATTGCCATCGCCGTATTTCAGCAGAGGCACATAACAAAATTTTAAAACTAAAACTGAAGTTTCCTGAAAAGTTATTCTTTTGTTTAAATATTCCCCCAAAGTGCTAGTTACAGCCTTTGAATCAATAACAGGATGTTTTTCTACTCAAGTTTCTGTGTTAATAATTGATTACCAAGAGATAAAACGCTAAGGATCACTATGAGTGGCAACATTTCTCGCGAAAACATGTATGCAACACTGCTTCTAACTTCCTTAATGATAATTTTAACAAACGGAGAAAGTCGATTGATAACATCCAATTACAAAGCCGTTAACTTTGCCAGAGAAATAAGAGGTCGAAAGCTTAAGGGAAGTGTTATCAAGGAAGTTGAAGTAGATTCAGAGGCTTCTTGTCGACTGCAGTGTGTGGAAGAAAATTCATGTCTGTCGTACAACTTTGGACCCGGTCAAAACAAAATGTTTAAATGTCAACTGAGCGACTCTGATCGGTTTACTGGACTGAGTAATTTCACT